GAATGTACTGATCGTCGCAAGAGAATAATTGATAGTGTGTTGCCCGAAAATAATAACTCCACTGCTACTCACATATATGAATCTAAAACACATTCTGATCTTCAGACTTCTGGCTCAAATGAAGAAACGATGAATTTTTTGACTTTTGAATTAAGAGGAAATTTTAACCTATTCAACATACCGCCTACTGCATACGTATTGCCTACATGCACATATTGTAAGTACTGTGGTGCACAAAAATTTCATAGAGAAAGTAAAGGTTTCTGTTGTTCGAATGGAAAAGTTAAACTTTTTATGTATGATTTGCCAGATGAATTATATAACTTGTTTACTTCTAAAGAACCTACATGTACGGAGTTTAAAAAAAATCGCAAGAGGATATAATAATCACTTTGCTTTTACTTCTTTTGGTGTAAAGTATGATAAAGAACTATTTAGAACGTACAAAGGAATTTATACATTCAGGGTTCAAGGACAAGTATATCATTACATAAACCAGCTTATGCCAGAGGATAATAAGCCTTCTTATATGCAATTATATTTTTACGATACAGATAATGAAGTTGATAATCCTATGAAAATTTCAGAAAACTTTGTTCAGTCTACTTTGATTACTTTAATTGAAATCTTGAAAGTAAATCCATATAGTAAATTCTTTAGGTCTTTAAGTCGCATATCAAATTTGCAAGATCATCGAATACACATAAGATGTGATCCAGGCCTCGATCAAAGAGTCTTTAATACTCCTACAACGTCTCAAGTAGCTGCTGTATGGGTTGAAAATGATGAAAAAGCAAATACTCATGTTCGTGACATTATAATATATGGCCATTCTGGACAGTCGCACAGGGTACATTACTACTATGGCTGTTATGATCCTTTGCAATATCCTCTGCTTTTTCCATATGGGTAATCTGGTTGGCATGAGGGCATTGAGAGATGCAGAGACATGTATGTTCAGCCTCAACATTTGCCTAGCTCTATTGTTTTCCCTAGCACAGCTGCTTCTGCATCTGAAATTATTGAAAAAGAAGATAAAAGTTTGCATATATACTATTTAGTAAACTTTCTAATTGCTACAATATAAATTCCTATATAAGTACTCACAGTAGATTTCATTTGTCGTCATGTAGTGCTTTATGGATCAAAAAAGCGATCTCAAGTCTCTTATCGAGAATACTATTCGTACAAACTACAAATTAGGCCATCCAATAAGTCTGTATTACTTCACACTGCCAGACTGTTTCAAAAATATGTTGTAGATATGTATGTTAAGATTGAAACTACTAGGTTAGATTATTTTCGTAATAACCAAAAACAGATTCGTGCTGAACTTTATCAAGGCATTGTAGATAATGTTCAAAATGGAGAAACAAGAGGATACAAAATTGGAAGAAAGTTCATTTTACCACAGTCGTTTACATGTGGGCCTAGAGATATGCTAAAGAGATATATGGATGCAATGGCTATTGTGCAACGGTATGGAAAACCAGATATATTTTTGACTATAATATGTAATCCAAATTGGCCAGAAATTAAGCAAGAACTTAAGCACAATGATGATGTTCAAAATCGTCCTGATCTAATTGTACGTATATTTAGAGCAAAATTAGAGGAGCTAAAAAATGATTTGTACAATGAAAAAATTTTCGGCCCTATTGTTGCCCATATATATCATCGAATTTCAAAAAAGAGGACTCCCTCATGCACATCTATTGTTAATTTTAAATTCTAGTTAGAAAATTTCTTCCGCTCAAGAAGTTGATAGAATAGTATCGTGTGAAATACCTAACAATAATATACATTCTCATCTTCATTCTGTTATTGTTAAACACAATATGCATGGCCCTTGTGGAGACCTTAATCCAAAAAAAAGTATGTATGGAGGGAAATAGAAGTTGTAAAAATAAATATCGTAAGGATTATTGTAATACTACTATATTCAATGATAACTCATATCCATTATATAGACGTTGTGATAATGGTATTTTCATTAAAGTTAGGGGCCAAATGTTAGACAATCGATGGGTTGTTCCATATAATCCTTATCTAAGTGCAAAATTTGATTGTCATATTAACGTTGAAGTATGTTCTTCTATCAAAGCTGTGAAATATTTGTACAAATATGTGTACAAAGGACATGATCGTATTAATTTCTCTTTAAGTACAGATGAAAGAAATAAAGAAATTGATGAAATTTCTGCTTACCAATCTGCTAGATGGATATCTCCACCTGAAGCTATGTGGAGGATTTTTTCTTTCAATTTGGCAGAAATGCATCCAACCGTCTACTCTCTACAGCTCCATACTGAAAATCAACAACAAGTAACATATGATAAATATGATGGTTTATCTGTTGTTATTGAGAAAGAAATGCAAAAAGAACAATGTTGACTGAATTCTTCCGAATAAATGAAGTAAATGAATTTGCTAGGACACTTTTATATCAAGATTTTCTATCTCATTTTGTTTGGAATACAAATCAGAAGATTTGGACTCCTAGAAAGAAACAAATTGTTATAGGACGAGTTGTTACAGTTAATCCATCTGAAGGAGAACGTTATTTCCTATGTGTGCTTCTTAATCATATTCGAGGGCCAAAATCATTTAATGATTTACGAACTTCAAATGGGGTAATTGCTAGAACATATCGAGAAGTAGCACTTCTACATGGTTTGTTAAGTGGAGATCACCATTGTGAAGAATGTCTATCCGAAGTTATTGCTTACGAAATGTCTATCTCTTTAAGACGTCTTTTTGCTACACTTCTCACGCTTTGCAACCCTAATGATCCGAAGTTCCTATGGGATAAATTCTAAGTTTACATGATTGATGATTATGTGCATGAAAATATTCAGGTGGAGGTTGCTGAAGTAAAAGCTCTATAGGATATTAATTCTATTTTAGAATCGTTAGGTAAAAACATAAATGAGTATGGATTAGTATCGCTTGATGTAAATGTAGATGAGGATGAAAGGTTGAGAAGAATGGTTGCAGAGGAGAATTAATTTTGATGTTCAAGGGGGATATGTTTATGCAGCAATCTTAAATAATGAACAGCAGTTTGCATATGATATAATTATGGAGAAAGTAAAATCAGAATTAGGAGGCACTTTCTTCATTGATGGTCCAGGTGGAACGGGCAAAACTTTTTTATACAAAGCACTTTTAGCTGGTGTAAGATCACAAAATTTAATTGCCTTGGCAACTGCATCCTCTGCAGATACATCCTCTGGAGTATCTGCATCTTTATTGCCAGGAGGTCGAACAGCTCATTCAAGATTTAAAATTCCTTTGGAAACAATTAGTGAAGTTATTTGTCCTATTAGCAAGCAATCAGCATTGGCAACTTTGTTCAAAATGTGTAGATTAATAATTTGGGATGAAGCACCTATGATAAATCGTTGTGCTGTTGAAGCTGTAGATAAAATGTTTAGAGATATTCCCAATTGTAATTTTCCTTTCGGGGGAAAAGTTATAGTTCTCGGAGGAGATTTTCGCCCAATTTTACCAGTGGTACCCAAAGGGAAAGAAGAAGACATTACAAAGGCTAGCTTAGTTTTCTCTGAATTATGGCCTTCGTTTTAACATTTACCATTAATCCAAAATATAAGAGCAAAATTAGATCCTGTATTTTGTGATTATTTGCTTAGAATTGGAAATGGAACAGAGCAAGAACATGATTGTAAATGCATTAAACTTCCAAATAGTATAATTTTACCACTTGAGGATGAGATTACGTCTTTAAAAAACTTAATACATCATGTTTTTTCAAATATAGAAGAATATGCTGATAATTCACATACGATGGTTAATCGAGTTATTCTTACGCCCAGAAATGACTGTGTTGATCATATTAATAGAATTTTGTTGGAGCAGATTCCTGGACAAATTTTCACATGTTATAGTTTTGATGAAGCAATTGATCAGTCAGAACAGAGCCTACAAGAAGACTTGTTGAATAGTTTAACTTTAAATGGTATGCCACCACATGAATTAAACCTTAAGGTAAACTGTCCTGTGATGTTGTTGAGAAATATTAATCATTCTGAAGGGTTATGTAATGGGACTCGTCTTACTTGTCGAAAATTTGAGAAGAATATAATTCTAGCTGAAATTTCAATTGGTGAGTATTCTGGAAAATATGTTTTCTTACGAAGGATTCCTTTCATACCTCTTAAAAGTGATTATAAGTCAATTCCATTTAAGAGAACTCAATTTCCAATTAGACCATGCTTCGCAATGACTATCAACAAAGCACAAGGTCAAACATTAGATTTCGTTGGCTTATATCTTCCAGAACCCGTTTTTTGTCATGGCCAACTTTATGTAGCATTATCACGAGCAAAAACCAGTATGTCTATAAAAGTTCTACTTAAGCCGTCAGACTCAAATAATTTACACAATACATGTGCTAAAAATGTTGTATACAAAGAAATTCTTTCACTTGTACGTTTGTAAACTTTAAACATTTCTATGAGCATTCATTCATATTTTACAAGTTTCCTAAACATCGAATTCATAAATATAATGAAGAAGACTATATGAATAAAAATAAGCTACAAAAATTGGGCAAACTTACTTTACATATGAGAATTCTTTTCACAAATGTTTTTTTTTTTTTTTATGTGTTATTGCATTTGTTACTTCAACCTATTCTTTTATTCTATGAGTCATAGTCTAATTTATTAGTAAAATAATTTATTGCTGAGTTCAAGTCCTTGTATTTTTTGGTATTTCTAACAAGGATAGTAATTTGCATTATTTTTTTCTTCAGTATCTTCTTATTTAATGTCCTTTCACTATTCTTTTAGAAATTCTCTCCTAATGATATTTGTGCTTCAATTATATATGAAAAAGGTTGTGTACATAATACCCTTTTATTTCCTTTTATCAACTCAACTATCTACCTATTGTGATTATGAAGCAGCACTTTCAGCCATTGAAAGTAAGTATGCTGGCTAAGTCGTTCTGCATGCCTCTTGTTTCTATCCATGTTGGGAAGATCAGCAAGCAATGGAGCTTCTTATGTCCAACATCCATGAGGTAGTTCTCTTCATTTTATTACTCTAGAGTTGTATGTAAGAAATCTTTGAGTGTTTTTTGCTCACTGAATATAAGAAGCTCCACCGCACCTCCACCTAAAATAAAAATGGAATACAAGATGCCTATTTTACTGGCTTTATGTGCAAGATAAATTTGATTTGTTCTGCTCACATGATGATAAGTACATTTTTTGTTATCTCCTTTGTTATTTTATGAGATCTATAAAATCGTTTTATGTTGAGTGTCAAATTATTTACCTTCAAATAATATCCACCCCCTCCTATTAAGAAAGAAAAAGAGAGAAATAAAGACGTGCAATATGTTGATACTTTCTCATCTTTGAACATTTAGTTTTGTTTGCTAGTCTGACAAGATAAAGAATAGTTAGCCAATGTGGGACGAAACTTCTCTGATGCTTTTTCTAATTGATTATTTATGACATGATGCATTTTTGTCCAAACAATTTCTTCCAACCTTTTGGAATAATACAATTCTAATTTCAATTGCCAGATATTTGGGGAAATTGCAGAAGATCTAAATACGCTTATTAGAATAAATGAACCCTACGTGGATGCAAACGGCAGGCCTCACAAAAATATTAGGTCACCTTTTATATTTATTGCATTTTACCTTCAATGTTGTGTAGTAATTAGTGTATATTCTTTCAGCAATTTTCTTTCTTCTGACCATCAAATCCAATGTTTCACATAGAATCAAGAACACGTAAATATTGGATGATCCTTTTGAAGATCCTTCCAACTAGCTGAGTTGATTCCTGATGCTTCACTTGAAGGAAAACCAAAAGATGAGGTAATAAATCACTATAAACTTGCCTTTAAACCACTCTTACACGTGTATTGTTACTTTTTGGTTTTGTGTGAGGATGTCATATAAACCTACCTTTTGAGATATTAAATAGTGTATGTGACTACCACTAAACTATGTTTTGCACTTTTACGACATTTATCCCTGAATTTTATTTTTTGCGATTTTACTATTCTTGGTTGAACTTTCTATTCATAAATACTCGAAGCTATTACTCAAATATTTAAATGCTATTTTCATTAGTGCATTTGTTTAAATTCAGTCAATACTTGATTGCATTGGCAGTATGAATTTTTTTCTCAGTCAAGTTAATCAAAATGATAATATCTTATACCTTGTTCTTTTTCATGATACAACCTCATTTTAAAGCAAAAATGGTGAGAGTTAGCGTTTTCAATGATGCTCTTAAGAGCATATCAATGAATAGATGAAAGGGAAGCATCAGGTCATGATTCAACCATCTTCCAATGTTATTAATAAGTTTCTCCTCATGATGTAAAAACATGGCATAAAAAACATTATGTGGTATTACTTCGTCCATTTAAGAATAAGAGACTCTATCTATACCCTTAATTCTTTATGATGTCTATAGAATACATCGAAAAGTTTGAGAACATTGATTATTTGTTTATCACCAATCTAGAAAAATTGTGATTGAACAAATGTGAAATCATCAGCCCTCATTTTGAATTGATGTCCAGGAAATTGAGGGATGGACTACAACTTTGCTTCCCTCTAGACAGGTAATGTATAAAAATACTATACATTAATATTTGGATGATGATCAGTTGGTGAATATTGAACTATTAGCCAGGCCATATGATGATATATATGTTCTACACATGTAACTTTATTTCATGGAATATTGTTTTAGTGGAATTGCCGCATATAAAATTGAGCACAATTTTGCAAAGAAATAGCCCGCTTCTTTCTCGAGAAGAGAAGGGGATAGTTAAGTTATTTTCAAGTGTTTTTGTGGCATATGATTATCAAAATAGAACATTATTTTTTTGATGCATGGTATTCTTTTTTTATGTGCCTTGTATGGTTATATTTCATCATATATTCTTACCTATGGATACACAAATCTGAAATATTAGTACCCGCTCTTCAATCCGAGTGGTTAAATCCTCTATTTTTAGATGATTGTAACTATATGTTCTTGGTATCTTTTTCTGTAGCTGGTATTCTCTAAACTTGAAGGTGGCATTTGTCTGTTAAGTTCTCTTTTCAGCAGAATAATTGCTAATCTATACGAAGGCCTTCTATGTAACAACTATTCGTTGATGAAGGCAAATGGTCAAAAGACATTGAAATCATTAAGCTGAAAGTAATCTTCTTTCTGAGTACTATTATATATTAATTCTGCGTTACATTTTTATTGTGGTCTGACTCTGTTTACATCTTCTTTCACAGTTACAATTTGGAGAAGCAAAAGGCCAAGGAACTAAAAATAAAGCAAACACTGCTGGCAAAAGCAAAGGCAGAGCCACTTATGAGCCCAAATTTGATAAAAGTAGGTGAAAGGATTATCACCAAACAAAAAATGAAGGATCCAATTTCTGAGGTGGAGTGATGGTAAGTTACCTCATGTTTTAATGGGTTAATACTTATTCTAGAAGGCTCAAGAAGATTGGAGAAGGGTAGGGACTGCAACAAACAACTGTGACAATGTAGTTATTTGTAGTTTGATGGTTTACTTCAAAACTGAATTCAATTTATAGAATCTTTATTTATACATTTAGTTATGTACAGAGGTTGTGTATCAGCACTTGAAATTTGATATATGTGAGCAGCAGTACTCTTTTTGTTATTATAGAATCCTAGAAGTAATGGCCTACCTAATGATGCATATTTACACACTCTAAGAATGTTTAATTTATGGGATTAATACTGAGTGTAGAAACTTCTAAGTCCTCTTATTTTTTATTAATTTTAGCCATTTGTAATTATAATTTCTAAACTTCTATGTTTGTTCTCTTATTAACATGTCTAATAATGTGACTTTGGATCAAAGATCTAGCACTTTTGTAAAAGGTTGGAGTTGCCACTGCACTTGAAGTCAGAGCCACAGCAATCCAGTATGTTTTTTCACCCTGCATTGCTGTAAGTAAATTTGGCAACGTGCTTTTTAGTCCTTTCTCCCATTTGGCGGATTGTGTTATACTGTACTATACTATTCCTGATCATTTGAATACTTCCTGGTATGCAGGGATTTTAGATGGGGTCACTCTTATGAGAGCTATAGCTAAGATCATATTATTGTTCGAGCAATGACTGAAAGCACTCGATGTACAGTGACTACCAATAAGGAACTTCTACTATACCTTTCATTAATTGGTAATAATAACCTTTCTAATAAAATTAGTTCTATTTTCTACATAATAAAAAATAAAAGTAACTTTATACCATACTTCCCTAACATTTGCCTTACAAAAATAAATATTTTACAATGGCTATCTTGCAACAAATTACATACATCTGTTGTGACAAACTTCTTTCCACAGTAAATAATATTTTACAGCACATACATACATGCATTAAAATAAATAAAATATTGTGAGTGTGCTATTTTTCGAAAGTATTTGCAAACTGGTCTCATACTTAGCGTCTCCAACCTGCATGAACAGATTTTGTTATTAAATATTCTACAGCACACACATACATGCATTAAATAATTAAAACATTGTGAGTGTACTATTTTTCCAATGTGTTTGCAGGCTATTCTCATGCTTATTGTCTACAATTTGCAGGGATAAATTTTCTATCCACAACAAATATTTTACAGCACATGCTTGCATGCATTAAAACAATTAAAACACTGCAAGTGTGCTATCTGACTGACAACATAGCATGAATTTTATCCTTATCCTTCTAATATAATATGATATACCTGAAACATATTCTCTCACTTTCAAATGTTTGAACAACCAACCCATATTATACTTCCCAACTACAGAAGAACAACTTGGAAAATTATATTCCCCTTTCATGTCCAGTAAGTTTTTTACATCTTCATGTTTTACTCTAGCAGTATTCTTACATTTTTCTTGCAAACCTAAATATACTGATAGCAATTCCAACTACTTATGCTTTGACTTCTTCTTAATGTTATTAACAGATACTAAAGATGACTACTTCATACAAGCTCATCCCAGAAATTTCTATTGCTGAAAATAACTGGTCTGCAAAAGTGATTGTTGCAAGAAAACAGTCACCTAAAAATGCTCGTAACACCTCTGGTTGATATCAAAATCTTCTTCTAATGGATTTAGAGGTGGGTACACTCTAATAGCTATAATAACTCTCTCATTTCTAATTATAACTTTTCCTCCTCCTAATATTCTTAACCCCTTATAACCTTTGAAACAGGGAAACAAAGTTACAGCCACAATCTATGATGCAAACATTACAGTCCTTCAAGATCAACTACAACTCGGGAAGATATACATACTGTCAAATGTAACTGTCAGACATAACAGAAGCACATTTACAAACTCTGCTGAAGAAAAAGTCTGGTCCATCACAGGGAAAACGAGAATTGAAGAAGTGAATGAAAATAACCTAAACTTCCTCTTCTCTACATATGAAGTTACTCCATTTCACGAACTAGAAAGATACATGGACAAGAACATGAACATAAGTATAGCTCCCAACATATACTAACCTTATAGCCAATATTTCCATTCAACACTTACTAATTATTTTCTTCAAGTTCAGCTACAACCACATGTACAGTACATAACAAACAAATCCCTTCTTTCTTTGTTACAGGTGTTATAGGGGTCGCTATAGACGTTCACCAAAAAGGAATCATCCAAACCCACTTTGGCACACAAGCCTGTCTTCAAGATATTATTTTGATAGACAAAAATTTTCAAACTGTAATGCTTACACTGTGGGATAGTTTTATTGAATGAGAATGCATTTCTATCATTGAAAACATTGCAAAAAGACCTGTGATATGGGCCACTGATCTTAAAATTTCTTCCTTCAATGGTAAATTCAATATACATATAGCCTTTACTTTATTCTAATGTTAAATCAGAAAAATAACTAATCTTACTTCTATTTCATATCCTTTGTAGGCATTACACTTTCCACTAAACTCAATAGTGTTATTTTCATTGATGCTGAAATATTAGCAGTGGCAGATTATAGAGAATGGTTTCCACACTTAACTCCCAAATTCTAGACTTCTTCCATCTATACAAGAAACATATTGGAGAGAAAATTATTATCATATACAACTAACTATGTACTTAATTTCCTACAGGGTGAAAACAAACAATGAAGTACTTGAGAAGCTGACTGAGAAACCATTTGTTGCAGTGACGCCTCCAAAGCTTTCACCTCCAGCTCAAAACAAATTTACGCACTTGCAGACTTACTAGGAGTCTACCTGGGGGTACATTCTCAAATAAATCTTTAAAATATATACATTATACATAGCCTCTTTATCATAAATTACACTGAACACTATGAAAACACTTCTCATCGTCCAGTTTAACATACATGTCTTCTTACAGAAAAAATTCTATTGGGTAAACGCCCAATGGAGAATTGTTTCGACCCACCAAAACTTCGGGTACATGTCATGTAGCAATTGAAAAAAAACATCCAACGTAGACTTTGAAGAAACTTACAAATGTCGCTTCTGTAAGTACGAATACGCAAAAGTAGTGCCAAGGTAAATTGCATCTCTAAATATAGATTTAAATATTCACTAAAAACAATACTTAGTTCTAGCAGATAATGACATCTAATGTGTTAAACTTTGTTCTCCAGAGCAAACGCTTTCATTCGCCTCGAAGATAAATCTGGAGAATTAGATGCAAGCATAATAGGAGAGGCGGCAGAGGCACTATTGGAAGCTAAAGCCAACGACATAATGAGCCATTTTGTAACGATAAACAAACCTACTACTGCCTTATAACAATTTCTTTATGAAAACACAAAAAATATAACACATACAATTTCTACATTGCAACATCCAGATATACATCTAAACGATGTGATAACGACTAAATCTAAAGAAGATATGCTCTTCTACCTCAAAGTCACACAAAAACATCAAGATCCACCAGAATATCACTATGAAATTATCTTCGCCTTCAATGCGTCAACAACAATCACAGACATAAACTCCTCAACTACAGTAGCTGATGTGGACTCTTCAACTGAAATTAGTCACATCGACATTTCAACCGAAGTAGCGGATAGTTCACATAACAAAAAAGGCAAGGAAAAACTGTACACCATAGACAGTGAAGTTTCCACAAACATTACCGAAGAGGTGACACTAAATGCAAAGAGAACTCTATTCCAAGTACCAGAAAAAGCAACTGAAGCAGAACCAAAGAAGAAGACAAAAGCAGCCACAAACTACAAATTGGATGAAGAAACCAAAACAATAACTTTCAAACAAAAAAAGGAATGACAAAAATCCATGTTCTTTTGTTATAATAGACAACTCTAGGAGTGTCTCTTATGTTAGTAAGCAGAAAAAAATCAGCTCTAGATGTGCAGTAACTTCAACCTGAATGTGTTACTGTTTTTGAAATGTAAACGTTGCTTCAAATATTTTGGCATCTTTTTTATTCTAGAAGCAACAACTACTGTAAGTTACCAAAAGTGATTGTATAATCACTAGCAATAATATAAAGTACTTCTCTATATAATTCTTCACACAACACACTAACATTAGCTTCGAAAAAACACTACCCGTGCAATGCACGGACCGAGCCTAGTTATTATAAAAAGACATAAAAAATTTAGATAATGACCATTCAATAGCTATTAAAATAATTATTTTTTATTGCACAATCTAAGAAAATTATATACATATGCAACTGACATAGATTTAGGACATGTTCGGTAGTGATTATGAAAATTGATTTTTTGACCGTTAGAGAAAAAAAAAGGATCACCTTTAGTGAAGAAGTAAAAAATAACGGCTAAAATAATGGTCAAAAAAATTAATTTTTGGGTTGAAAAATTGCTACCAAATAGGAACTTATTTTATTTACACACACGTATACATACATATACATATCCAGGCAATGGCGGATTTGGGTGATGACGACACCCTAGCTGGATTCGTCGGAAGCGTATGGAGCCATTTTTTTTGGGTCGACAATAGATTAAAATTTTAGTTTATATCTCTGACATTCAATTTATTTTCAAGTATTTCGTGTGGCTCACTTGATCAGCCGTTGAATGTGTATGATGTAGGTTTTGGGTTCAAATTTTTTTACCAACAAACTATTGTGCAATAATATTTAAGTATAACAATTTTTGCTAAAATTAAAGAGTGGGGGACCAAACAAAAATTCGAACTTGTGATCTTTTCTTAGATATAGTATAATCTTCACCACTATGGCACCTATCAATTATTTGCAATAAGCTTAACAAAATAATATTTGTTAGGTTCTATCTATTGTAATGCGAGTACAATTCTAAAGATTCGAGTCCTTGATCTTCCTTTAAAATATACAAAGCTTGACAACAATGTTATTAGATGAGTCCGTTTATTCTTCCTAGTAGTAAGCATGTGCGCTGCACCTTTTACGTATTGGACGAATGATATGCCTAATATTTTTAAGTACTAACAATTTTTTTGGAATTAGTTGATGTAATTAATATTACTAAAGGAAAAAAATTAAAATTGTTAATGTGTATATATATATACACACCTTTTAAGAAATTATGTATATAGTGTAAAATGTTGAATAAATTGAAATGTGTATTGAATCAAATTTGTAAGGGTTAAAATGTCATATAATACAACCACTCGGAATTTGGGAGAATCTAATTTTAGATTTTGACTATTTTTTCTCTTATCCAATTTTAAGTGAAAAAATTGCAAATTTTAATAAGTACTAAACTATTTTTCAGACTGACAACTCATACATAAATTCCTTGCAAGTGAAATTCACATTATAATTTTCAATTCCTCAAAACTAACATTCGCACAGTGTACAATTGTAACAATAAAAAGGAAAATATGTTCATTAATCAACGAATATCATAAAGACAAAATGTAGAAAATTCAAGTTGAGGAAATAAAGAAATATTTGTACTGCATTGAATAACCAAATGCAAGTGAATTTCGATTAAAAATATAATATTTGTAAAAAATAAATTCAAAACTAACTATCAAATATAATAAATCTTTTTATAATTCATACTATTAAAATTCATGATAGACAAAAGTATAAAACTTATTATTGGTTGTTGTGCTATATAAAAAATGAATGGCCATCATTTCGATCAAAAGAGACCATAAAAATTTGTGATTAATAATTACACATCAACAATTACATAGAGAAAGTAAAATA